ATGCATTGGCAAAGACTATTAATTTTAAATTCTCCTCTCTAATACATATTAATTTTTATATTCAAATAATACTTTAGAAAGAAATTTAATGGAGTTCTACGTTAAAGTTCACTTGGATATTTGAAAATTTCATTTAGGATATATTTAAAGAAATTAATTTATTAAATGTATTTTTATTTGAATTTTTATATTTTGGTTATTTATATAAACCAAATATTAAAGGACTGATTGGATTAATATTTTAGGTGAATGATAAAAAAAAAATTAAAGGAATTAATATTAATAACAAAAATTTTAAAAAATCTACTTTGGTGACACGACATGTCGTTTTGAACGCAACCTCGTAGCAACAAATAAAAGACGAGAAAAGAAAGCGGAGGAAACTTTTCCGTCCAATCTGAAACGCAACAATAAGGCTAAATTCATCATTTAAGAATCCACGCCCTTTTTCTTCCCGCGTTCCATCCCACTCCAAGCTACTGTTCAATGTCCAAACCGGCAAAATCCTCAAACAACAAAAACGCAGAAAATATGGATTATGAGCAGAGGCTCACGAAAGCATCTAGTATTATCTCACCGCCGACGCATTCCGCATTAAACACTGCAGAAATTGCGGGTACGGGGACGCTGAAACCTCACCAAATGAGTAGAAGGTAAAGTTTGAATTTTTTTTTTTTTTATTAGTTAATAATAATATTATAGATTCTTGTCTCATTTTATCTGTCATCTCAGAATATTAATTTCTTTTATTTAATAATTCACTTTAATTGGTACGGAATTTGATATTGTGACACTTTGAAAAATGGAAAGGAAGGAGTAGGTTTTTTTTTTATGTCATTCTCATTGGGATGGAATGAGTGATTTGATATTTCATTTAAAGTTGATTTTCGATTGTTTTTTATTTTTTTTAATTCCACTCACGTGGAAATTGTTCAGAGTAAGTTAGACCGAGTTAGCCAATGAGTCAAGATGCATAACGCGACTTATTAAAAATAGTTGAAATCTTTTTAAAGCTCACCAGCAAGATATTAATCTCTTTAAATATATGTAGCAATAATATTATTCACAGTTTGACGCATGTGAAGAGAGAGCATCTTTATGAGATATATTAAATGGACAACCTCTGATTATTTAATAAACTTTTTGACAACTTGTTAATCAAACGATTTACACATTTCAATGCGCATGCAAAACACACCCCCTCAATCATCGTTATCCGCATCATAATTACTAGTAATCTGATGGGTTTAATGCTGCTCTAATCCCAAATGGAGTATGCGGAAAAATATCGGTCGTAGAAGTAAAAATAAAATTACCGACGGTAAAAGTTAATAGCGCTGATAAAAATTTTAATTACTATTACCTCATTTATCTCTAATAATTGTATATTGGATATTGCCGATCGAATCACTAATTACCATCATTTATTACTTAAATAAGAGTTGGTATATTAGGAATAAATGCGATCGAATTCCACAAAAAAATGTCTTTTTTTTCATTGCCATGATACCGTCGCTGACTACAATAATCTCTAAAGTCCTTAGCGAGAATATTATTTCACCACCATTAATCTGTGCCGCACAAAAACACTTCAATTCCATTATCTGTGCGCAAACACTTCAATGCCACTCCAGTCTCCCTTTCCACCATCGTATGGAATTGCTGAAAGTGCTTGAATACTTGGTCCTTTATGCGCAACACATATATCCATGTTTTTCCGTGAGAAAGCATCAATGAAGGTTAGAAAATATATACTTCCTCCAAGGGATTCCACCTCCATGGGACCACATACGTCAAAGTGTACCAACTCCAACTTGTTGTCTTTCCATCTAGAGCTTTTTTGAAATGAGGCACGATGTTGCTTTCCCAAATAAACAATGATCACAAGGGTTTATTTTACCTTTAGCTAATGGGATGAGAGACTTCTTAGCCAACATATTCAACCCTTTCTCACTAACGTGCGCTAGCCGCCTATGCCACAAATTTGATGAAGCATCATCTCGAAGTGCGCTGGCCGCGCCTATCCGCGCACCAAAATTTGGCATGAAGCTATTCACTTCTCCACGTATTTTAGTCGACCCCACACATATTATTGCGTGCGTCTTATACAACGATCAACATTAATTTTCCTCTTGCCACCACCAAAAGACCCTTTGGTGAGTTTTCAGTTACATGTCGCTCCTGAATAATGATGCGCTTGATCAACACTTCCCCTGTATGATGGTGATAACCTTCCTTGTTTAGTATACTAATAGATAACAGGTTCAACCGAAAATCGAAAATATGTCTGACATTTTTAAGTGCTAATGTGCACCCGATACTTGTTTTCACGTAGGCATCGCCGATTCCCACCATTTGCGAAACATTATTATTACCCATTCTAATAATGCCAAAATCTCCTGCTTTATAGGTGGAAAAGCATTCCTTTTTCGGAACACAGTAGTATGAAGCACTGGAATCTACTATCCACTCGGTATCTGTATCTCCGACATGACAGCAATCTGCATCATGAGAGACTAAAGTCACCTCACCATCTTTTGTTGATACTGTAGCAGATGTATTTCTGTCATTCTCCTGTCTTCGGTTTTCTCCTATTTGATAAACAAACAATTCCTTTTGAGATGGACGCTTCCTTACCGCCAAATTTGGTAACACATTCCTTTCATTCTCTCCTGGACTTGGAATCTACTACCTGACTTTTCATGCCTCAGACCTCTTGCCTCAGACCTCTACTCTCACTCCGGCCCCTATTCTCTGTGACAAGGGCTTGTGAACTGGTACTGGCAACATCTCTTCTTCGTAGTTCTTCATTGAGTAATTTATTCTTTACCATAGACCTTGTTACCATACCATTTGGACCTGAGTTACTCAATGATACCACAAAATTATCCCAACTATCTGGTAGAGATCCCAACAGTAGGCATGCTTCCATTTCGTCATCCAAGGACACACCGCTAACTGCTAACTCAGTTACGAGTCCTTCAAAATCATTCAGGTGTTGTGTAACTGATCGTCCCTTTGACAGCTTCAAGTTCATGACTTTACAAGTTATGAACACTTTTCCTTGAGCATTTGTAGCCTCGTACATATTCTCTTATTTCTTCTAGAGAATTTGGAGATCTTTTTTATTTCTTACATGGTTGTATGGGCTAGCATCTATCCATTGGTATATTGTACCCAATGTCTGCTTTTTTAACTTTTCCTATTGCTTTTCTTTCATTTCTTCTGGCTTTGCACTGTCATCTTCAATTGGATTGTATAGATCTTTATAATTGAGGTTGTTCTCCATTCTAGATTTCCACATTGAATAATTCAAATCTGTCAATTTGATCATTGCCCCGTCGTTAGCAGAAGTCTGACAGAATTTCAACCAGGCTCTGAATTTCAACCAGGCTCTATTACCAGTTGATTGGGTTTAATGCTGCTCTAACCACAGTCGAAAATTGCCGGGGGTAGAAAAGTAAAAATAAAATTTACGACGGTAAAGGTTCAATAGCGCCGATAAAAATTTTAATTACTATAAAATTTTAATTACTATTACCACATTTACTTTCAATAATTGTGTATTGGATATTGACGACCGAATCCACCAGAAATAATAATCACGGAAAAAAAAATTAAATAATTACGTAAATGCCAGAAAAATAGGGTCACAGAGATTTACGTGGTTCACGCTTCAACTGTTATAGGCTACGTCCATGGAAAAAACTCCGAATAGTGGGTACAAAAGAGATTATACAAAAAAATAGTGGCACTCTAAATGTTTCAAAAAAAAAAAAAACACTCTAAAAATTATAATTTTCACTATTTTTCTCTCTTTCTCAATTTTAAGAACCCTTTCCTAAAATTTTCTATATTTAACCGTGTAGACTTCTTCGTTTTTTTTTGTACACCTTTGGTTGAGGCACTCAAGAAAAGAGGATTTGTAATCAACGCGTCCACTGACTGACGTGCAATTAACGCATCCATTTTCAATTGTTGGTACCTTCATTGATTTTTTTTATCAAACACAAAAATGTGTTCTCTTTTTTTTCAAAAGCATGTGGGTCCCACGTGCCGGAATTAGCCACAACATAATCAAGTTGCATTATTCATGATCTTAATAGCATTACAATTGCATTATAATAGCATTATTCATGATCTTAAGTACCATAATAATTTTTCTGAGATAAGAGTTAAGAATGAGAATTAATTATTTGTACACGTTTTGATGATCTTTTTAGCTTTCATTAGCTTTCAGATTGGGAATTAAGAAAAGCTTCTTTGTTCTATACCTTTTAATTTTTGGGATTGTCTTTAATTTACCTATTTTGTTTTCTTCCAAATTAAGTGCTGAATTACAGCTTGATCTTCAAATTTGCAATTTATCAAGTCCCACACAGAAAACATGGAGGAAAGGATTTTGGACAAGGATTTTGGACTGTGTTTTGCAATGATATTGAATGTTCTAATCATGCTGTAAAAAATTGCAGTTGGAGCTTTTACGCACTAGTCAGTCCATATTCGTGTAGCAATCACATTTTGATAATTTCTGTAGATATTCTGCTTTTGTTGATTGTTTGTTCTATTTGGATATGTAAATCAGTCTCAAGGAAGCTTCTACTAGCAGCCGAAACTCAATCTCAGGATTCCTCTCCACTACTGCTATATGTATCGACCATGTTCAATGGCATTTTGGGTTTCGCTTATTTAGGCCTGGGAATAAGTATTATTGTTGAGAAACTTAAAAAAGATAATACCATTTTTCCAGTGCATGAATCGTTAGTAATGTCATTCCATGGATTCACATGGTTGCTGCTGAATCTAACAGTAATACAGCAGAAATTATTCCTCTCTCAAATTGCAGCTCTGAAGTTTTGTTCGATTATCACCTTTTTTTTGTCCGGATTTATCGGTTTTTCATATCTTTGGGAAGCTATTATGGCCTATTTATGGAAAAAAGTATTGTGTGGGGTCAATTAGTTTTGGGCATACTATACTTTCCAGGAGCCTATCTATGTTTCTTTCTTCTGTTTGCTTCAAGGCAAAGGAATACATCTATACAGGCATCAGCGCTGGTGCTTCCTATGAACCATTGCCAAGTGAAAATATTACTCCATTTGCCAAAGCTGGAATTTTCAGTCAAATATCATTTTGGTGGTTAAATCCAGTAATGAAGAAAAGTAATGAAAAAATACTCGAAGATGAAGATATTCCAGTACTAAGGAAGGAAGATCGAGCAAAGACTTGTTACATAACTTACATAGAGCATCTAACAAGATGGAGACAGAAAAGATTATCCGAGTCTCCTTCCATGCTATCAGTAATCATTTCTTTGCATTGGAAGGAAATTCTAAAATCTGGATTTTTTGCATTGATCAAGGTACTCACTGTGTCTTCTGGTCCTCTTTTTCTGAAGGCCTTCATTGATGTTGCTGAAGGTGATGCAGACGTTAAATTCGAGGGTTATGTTTTGACAGCCGGACTTCTCTTAGTAAAATGCTTAGAATCTTTGTCAGAGAGGCAATGGTACTTTCGTACTAGACTAGTTGGGATCCAAGTGCGATCTATGCTCTCTGCAGCAATCTATCAGCTCTCGTCAGCAATCTATTCACAAGCAAACTACGATCTCCATATGCTGCTAGGTAGCTCAATCTTCTGGTGAAGAAGTGATATTATGTAATTGCTGGATGCTTTATATTGAGATAGTGAATTATGTAATTGCTGATGCTTATAGAATTGGTGAGTTTCCATTTTGGTTTCATCAGATATGGACTACAAGCCTTCAGCTTTGTCTTGCTTTACCTATAGTTTACTATGCTGTGGGGCTGGCAACATTTGCAGCTGTAATTGCAATTTTGTTAACAGTGCTTGCAAGTTATCCATTGATTAAGTTGCAGGTTAAGTATCAACGGAAGGTCATGGAAGCACAGGATCACAGGCTCAAGACTATTACAGAGGCACTTGCGAACATGAAAGTCTTGAAGTTGTATGCTTGGGAGACACATTACAAGAACTTTATAGAGAAGTTACGGAGTGAAGAAATTCAGTGGATAATAGGGGTTCTCTTACAAAAAACGTATCAGCTGGTTCTGTTTTGGTCATCTCCAGTTCTAATACCAGCTATTACTTTCTGGACATGTTATTTCCTCAAAATTCCACTTTCTGCTAGTAGTTCGTCTACATTTCTGGCTAGTTTGCGCATTGTTCAAGAACCAATTAGGTTAATCCCTGATGTTGTGGGAACCTTGATTGAGGCAAAAGTTTCATTCGACCGTATTGTGAAGTTTCTTGAAGCACCAGAGTTGCAGAATAGAAATATAAAGATAAATTGCAGCAGCAGAGAGCTTAATGAGTCTGTTATTATCAGGGCTACGGAAGTATCATGGAATACTGATTCTGCAACAAAGGCTTCATTAAGGAATATCAATTTGGTAGTTCGAGAAGGAGAAAAGGTTGCTATTTGTGGGGAGGTCGGCTCTGGAAAATCAACCCTTTTGGCTGCAGTGCTTGGAGAAGTTCCAAAAATTAACGGAACAGTAAGTGCAGCTATGCATAAAGTTTGGACAAGTTATGTTTGAGTTTTCTTGTGAAAGAAAAGGTTATAGGAAAAAGAATACGAAAACTAGTGGTATAAAATTACAGTATGATTTTTTTTTTTACATTTCCCTTTCTCAATGATACATATTTGAATTTACTTTCTAGATGCACCAATTCATGGAAAATCTTACTCTGTATGCATTTTTGATGACCTGAATCTGTCTTTTACAGATTCGTGTTTATGGTAAGGTAGCATATGTTTCTCAAACTGCATGGATTCAGACTGGGACTATACGAGAAAATATTTTGTTTGGATCTGCAATGGATTCAGTAAGATATCACGAGGTCCTCGACAAGTGTTCTCTAGTCAAGGACCTCGATTCGACAAGTGTTCTCTTAGTCAATGGACCTCGATATGCTGCCATTTGAGACCTCACTCAAAATTGGAGTGAAAAGAGGTTGTTAATCTGAGTGGCCGGCGACAGGAAACAAGTGCGGGTTCATAACTGCACGTGCTCTTTTGTATCAAAAGTGCAGATGTATACTATTTTAGATGATCCCTTAGTGCTGTTGATGAACACATACAGCAACCAACCCTATTCAAGTGTTAAATTTAATTTCCATAATATATATATATAAATTCCGATTTTTCAATGATTGTTGATTCTCTTAGTTCTCTATTGCAGGATTATGTCTTGGAAGGCATTGTTTAGGGAAGGGGACAGTGTTACTTGTTACTCATCAAGTTGATTTCCTTCCAGCCTTTAATTCCATTTGGTTAGCTAACTTTCAAAAAAACTATTGGCTACTTCTCTATTGACAGTGGATTTGTGGATTTACAAAATGGACTAACGAGTATTTGTTATTTTCTTGAAAGTTGATGTCTGCTGGAGAAATCATAAGAGCAGATACTTACGATCAGCTGCTGGCTTCTAGTCAAGAATTCCAAGAACTTGTCAATGCGCATAAGAGCGCAGTTGGTTCTGAAATGCAAGTTGTGCATGCTTTTGAGAAAAGACATATGTCTTCCAAAGGAGAAATACAGAAAATTTATGTTAAAGAACAATTAATAGAATCTTTAAACAATCAATTGATTAAGCAGGAAGAAAGAGAAATAGGAAACAATGGTTTTAAGCCTTACAAACAGTACTTGAGTCATGGCAAAGGCTTCCTGTACTTCTCTTTGGGAATCATATTCCATATCATTTTTGCAATTGGGCTTCTGATACAAAATTATTGGTTGGCTGCCAATATCCAGAATTCTCATATGAGCAGAGTTATCATGTTTGCAGTTTACACGGTGCTTGGTTGTATTTTGGCAATTTTTTTGCTCCTCAGATCCTTCTCTATAGTTCTATTAGGTTATGGCACATCGAAGTCTATGTTCTCTACATTGCTGACCGGTCTATGTTCTCTTACATTGCTGACCTCTTTCCTCCTTTTTTTCGAGCCACTATGTCCTTATGACTCAACACCTCTGGGAAGGATACTCAGCCGAGTAAGAAATTATACTTCATTTCCATTTTTAACTCTTTGGAAAAAAAATTTCATGGAAATCATTTTTTTTTTTTTTTTTTTTTTTTTTTTTTTTTTTTTTTTTTTTAGGTGTCATCTGATTTAAGTATAATTGATAGTGAAGTGGCTTTTAGACTGGCAATTACAGTATGCGCAGCCATTAACAGTTACTGCAATTTTGCTGTCTTGGCTTTTTTTACTTGGCCAGTCATATTTGTCATAATTCCCATGGTTTTTTTAAGTATCCAACTTCAGGTAAATGTAACACCCAAACCTAACCAGTCTTCACTTGTTTGTATTGCATTCCAGTTTATATAGGCATACTCGAATAATAAATATTTATCAAGTTTTTCTTTAAATTTGTTCTTAGAATGACAATTCTAACAATTCTAAAAGATTAATTTTCTTACTTGCTTTCATTTTATGAAATAGAAATATTATTTTGCTGCTGCAAAAGAGCTGATGCGAATCAATGGCACCAGTAAGTCCTCAGTTGCAAGCCACCTTGCTGAATCAATTGCAGGAGGTATGATAATCAGAGCTTTTGGGCAGGAAGATCGGTTCTTTTCGAAGAATCTTGACCTGATTGACAAAAATGCAAGCTCATACTTTCACAATATTTCTGCCAATGAGTGGTTTGTCCAACGTCTTGAAATCCTATGCGCATGCGCAATTGTTCTGTGCTCCACAACTCTTGCCATGGCTTTACTTCAGTTTGGAACTTCTTCCTCCGGTTAGTATCATAGTTTTAGCTGACTCTGAATGAAAATCCCAAGCGAAAATACTACTACATTGAAGCTTCATTCTATTATAAGCAAGGTCTTTGTCAGTGACTCGGGTATTTCTTTGTGTTTTTTACACATTATTTTCTAACAAATCTTGGCTATGAATACTTTGATCTCAGGGATTATTGGAATGGAGTTGTCTTATGGCCTTTCATTAAACATCTTCCTCATCTTCTCTCTCCAATTCCAGTGCTTGCTAGCAAATCAAATTGTCTCTGTAGAAAGGCTGGAGCAGTACATGCATATTCCTAGTGAAGCTCCATTAGTAATAGAGAGAAACCGACCAGCTCCATTAGTAATAGACGAGAACCCGACCTGCAAACTAATTGGCCTGGGCTGCTTGGGTAAAGTGGAAATATGTAAACTTGAAGTAAACATAGGAATATGCAATTATGCCCTTTCTATTTCCAAGCATTAAGGAATTAAGTTATTGCACTCATGATCAAATGAAAATCAAAAGGTTAGAATATCAGCCCAATGCCTCCACTAGTTCTTCAGGGAATAAGGCGCACCATTGAAGCGAGGAAGCAAAATTTGGATAGTTGGTTAGAAAACTGGAAGTGGAAAGACTACTCTCATTCAGTGCCTTGTTTCGTCTGTAGAAACCTTACAGAAGGCAAAAATAGTAGTCGACGGCCTTGGACATCTCCCACAATTTGGACTCATGATTTTGAGGTCTCATTTTCAATATTCCACAAGATCCAACACTTTTCTTGGGGCTCTGTCAGATACCAAACTTGGACCCTTATCGGAGCATACACGATCAATAAAATATGGGAGGTAAAAACAATCAGCCATTGTTAGAATTAGGACAATGCTTCTTAAATGTTAAAACATAAAACTTATTGCAGAATGGTTTTCTAAACATCTAACTGCTTAATTTGATAAACCTTAATTTCATTTCATGAATATGTGAAAGGTTCTGGAGAAGTGTTATTCTTGCTATCAGCCATTCAAGAAAAAGAAGATGCCTCTGATTCTCTAGGTTTGAGGATTTTATTAGCAATAGCAGATGCTTTGCTTGAGTTAGAACTTAGAAGAATTTCATATCAGTCTCACATTAACATGTACCGATGCAGTTGCACAAGATGGTACTAATTGGAGC